TACCTGTGTTTCCCAGGACAGCATACAGTCACCAAGCTATGTGTGGTGTGCCCAGAAATGCCCAGATCTGACCCAGCCCCAACAGCAGTGGGCACCCCTTGTACCCACATCCCAATTACTACATGCCCTTCTCCTCTGAAGGGAGTCAAAGGGTTCACTCTAGGATGGGGCAGGAAAGACCAGGCTGAGCAGAGAGGTGGGCAGAGAACAGTGGCAAAGCAGCCGGTCTCATAAGCATTGGGGGGCATACTCCCCCAAACTCACATCCATGCAGTTTCAGAACTGATCTCATTTGGAAACACGGTCTTCACAGATATAGCTAAATATGTCAAAACAGCATCCCCTTGCCGCTACGGTGGGGCCTCATCTGGCCTCCAGAACCAAGACTAGGTTTCTGTTGTTTTCAGCAAGTCAGTGGCAATTCATTCAGACAGGACAGCCACAGGACACAAACACAGATTCCCAATAGCCAAACTTGGGACAATGTAGCCTCAAGATAACATTAGCATGATAGTGGAACATAACTATTGGGCAAAACAGGAACTCCTGAGTTCATGCGGAGTAAAATAAAAGCAGCAGTTCCTAATTTTCCCGAGACACAGAATAAAGTAACGTCACAGAGAGAAGGCTGCCAGATACCGTTGTGGGCCTACCAGTATGGGCATCACTGGGAACCAACATTCCAAATCTGAGAACATACATGGTTGCTAGGACATTCCTGCCAAAGATGCAAGCCCTGAGCAACGTCATTCAAATCCAACTGAGACCAGCTGAGCTGAACTCCTCAGAGCCAGAGCTACCTGGGCTCAAGGAGGCCAGGATAACTGTTTCAGGCCAGAAGGAAGAGTGAGGTGCTCAGGACTAGTCTCTGGTGGCAAAGGGCATCACTGGGACAGAAGGCAACCCTAACAGGGTGAAGGCTAATTAGCAGCAGATCAGCTTCCCAGGTGTGCACCTTAAGTAGCTACAGGGGACTGACCTCTGCTGTTACCACTTTGAAATTCTTAATTTTTGAACATGGGTACCTTATGTCTTCATTTTTCAATGGCCCACAAATCAGTTACCAATTCCCAGCCTAAATTCTGTACTAGTTCTGCAAAATTAGTGTCCCTCTTATTATTTTGCACAGTCAACATAGTCAAGTATAAGAGCCTTGTAACCTGACATCATTGTCCTGGGAGGGGGGGGAAATGCAGGGCCTTTTCACTTGATTTTTTTTATGTGTATGGTATATTGACTGCACGTATGTGAGTGCACCTGTGTCGTGCAATGCAGAGGTCAAAAGAGGGTGTTAGATTCCCCTGGAACTGGAGTTAAGGATGGTTCTTAGCCGTCACGTGGGTGCTGGAAATAGAACTCAGGTCCTCTGCAAAAGCAGTCAGTGCTCTTAACCACTGAGCCATCTCTCCAGCCCTTGGTTGTTTGATTTTTAACAGGTCACTTTGTAGCCCAGTCTGGCTTTGACTTGTGATCCTCGTGCCTCAGACTCCCTAAAGCTATTTAAGAGGTAGTGTTTATAACTCATCACTTGAGATTCCTTCCACCAAAGATTCCTTCCACCTACCCCCACCTACAGGCCCCTCAGAAATCCTATCACAAGTCAGAGGCCAAGGTCTCACTTGTGGAACAGGCTACAAGCCAGGCAGGGAGACCTGCTGCAACCACAAATCCTATAGTAGGGCATTCTCAAAACCTTCTGATCTCCCCCACCCCCATGTTTCTACCTAGAGGACAGCCTTCAACAACAGGATTCCCATCTTTCAGACCCTGCTTTTTCACTTTCCACAGAGCCAAGGCTTCCCAAGATAACCACACCACAGTGCAAGACACAGGCATAGTACACGTGCAAGCCCTGTGGACCCCAGCAGAAGTGTTGAGCCTCTGATCCTCCCAATCTTCGCACCCTATGCACACACAGAACACACAGGCCCTCACACAGACACATAAGTACACAGAAGATATGCATATATCTAACACAAGCACTCATTCAAATGTACACACGAATACTCACACATGGGCACACATACACAAGCACACACAGGCATCCAATCCTGTACGTGTGGGCAGTCATACACATGTGCATACACTCTTGCACATGCAGGCACTCATGTATACTTCTAGACCCATGTGACAGACCATGAATGCATGAGACTCACCAGGGACTCACACGTGTGCATGTTCTTCTTAGTATGTATTCCAAGGCTGCTTACAGCAGAATGCGGATGTGCTGATGTATATAGTTGAATTTAGATAAGGGCCTGAGCAGAGACTGACTTCACAGATGCAATCCCCTCTTCCCCCAAGTTCAAAGCATTTTGTTTTGAAACAGGGTCTTTCTGTAGAGCCAAGGCTAGAAACTTACAATCCTCCTGCTTCTGCTTCCTGAGTGCTGAGATTACGGGCCTGTGCCACCATGACCGGCTTGGGGGCTGCATTAAAACCACCACCAAGAGGTGCAAGTATGTGAACAAGGTGACATTGAGACCATGAAAAGAATGCTTGTTCAGTTAACTGCAAATGAATACAGAGCACTGTCAAGCTCCAACTCAGCTAGGAGTACGCATTGAGTTGGGATTCAAATTGTTCTCTGAGTGAGTCTCCGCCACCCCCCCAAATGGCTGAAGGTACCATGACAGAGTAGCTGAATTCATAAATACAGAATCTGCAAGTAAATAGGGTCTGCTGTTTTGCCACCAACCTAAGAAATGTTTCTATCTGTTGACTTGATAAAGCTTGGAGAAGACAACTTTTGTTCTGGGAAGACAAGTAACTGCTGACTGTGCCCACTAGTTGCTTGTCAGCAGCAGTGTCCTGTTACTTCTTGTTGGCACCTACTGACTGTTACTGGTGGTTGTTGATAGTTACTAGTTATGACTGGTAGTTACTGTTATTGCTGATAGTTGGTGGTTGTCAAGTTGCGGGCTGTCATTGATAGTCACTGGCAACTGGGAGTTGTCAGATATCACTATGGCACCCTCAACTAGCATATGGTGTGCAGAGAGAGCAATGTGAATCACACTGAGCATGCTCCCAGCTGTGGCTGAGCCATCGGTACCCTGCAGTCTTGCTTCATTTAGCTCACTGGAAACCAGGACCCCTTTTGCAGTCTAAGTGCCATGATTTTCACTTTTTGTACATTTTGTTTGTGATTTTACTGTTTACAACAAACCCAAAGACAACTTACAAGGCAGAACACATTTTCTGATAAACATTAAAATGAATCTTCACTTTGAAGCTCATATAAAGAATTCACCACACTGAGCTGTTCATGGCTTGTGTCTAAGAGCCACAAACTCTAGAGGGTAAAGACGAGGTCACCTGGCACAAGGATGCATATATTTTTTTCTTCCCTCCCTCCCTCCCTCCCTTTCAATATTTAATTATTTATGAGTGTTCTGCCTGCATGTATGTAAGTGCACCACATGTGTGCAATGCTCACAGAAGCCAAAAGAGGGTATCAGATCCTCTGGAACTAGAGTTATAGATGGTTGTTAGCCACCATGTGGGTGCTAGGAACTAACTGGGGTCCTCTGCAAGAGTAGCCAGTGCTCTTAAGCACTGAACCAGATCTCCAGCCCTATGATGATGCATTTTAACAACAACAACAACAAAAAAAAAAAATCAGGGGGTAAGAAGCACCACGGGAAAGAAAATTTGTCACCATGGGGCAATCATAGCTGGGTCACAACCAGGGTCACCTGGAAACCCCTCCAAACCTGTGATGTACTCTTCCTGCTCAACCATGGCCTCAGCACAAAGTTGTGCTTAAGAAGCCATCTAGTAAGTACCTCCCTTGAAGTTGTTCGTCATCTGGGACCCCCAAAGAATGCAGATTGTCACTGCTCTTGGGTTGCCCACGAGAAGGTGAAGAAAACACCCTCTTGCTGAAGCCACCACAATTTGGTCACAGGACATGGAGGAATCAAACTGATACTGATCTGGAAGTTTCTTCCTTGTTGCCTAGCTTTCATAATTCCAGGAAGTGTTATGCAGGCTACTGGGGAAGAAAAGTCATCAACAGTCATACCTAGGTATGTGAACACTATAAGCTATAAAAATGACCAGCCTGCAAGCACATGGTGTACATACATACACACAGGCAAAAACAATCATACACATAATAAAATTTTTAAAAAATTTAAGGTTGAGCCAGGCATGGTGGCACACGCCTTTAATCCCAGCACTTGGGAGGCAGAGTTCCAGGGGATCCAATGCCCTCTGCTGTTCTCCGTGGGCATTGTATGACACAAGTGTACTTGCATACATGTAGGAATCCAAAAAGACCAAAAAAAAAAAAAAATAGGGCTGGAGAAATGGCTCAGTGGTCAAGAGTACTTTTCCCAGCACCGAAGTTAGGTATCTCACAACTGCTTGTAACTGCAGTTCCAGGGGATCCAAGCTCTTCTGGAGCTTTGTGGGCACCAGGCAGTCACGTGGACACATATACACATGCAGGCAAACACTCATACACATAAAATCAATCTTAAAAAAATATTTTTAAAAAAATGACATGAAGTTGGGAGGGGGACTTAAGAGGCAGGAATTCAGGAGGAGTTTGAAGGGGAGAGAGAGGTGGATATGAGCAAAATACATTGTATATATGAAATTCTCAAAGAATAAAAAAATTATATTAAAAAAAGCAACCAGGTGGCACATACCTTTAATCCCAGGACCTGAGAGGTAGAGGCAGGCAGAGCTCTAGGATTTGAGGCCAGCCTGGTCTACATAGTGAGTTTTCGGCTAGCCAGGGCTACACAGTGAGAACTTGTCTCAAAACACCGAAACCCAAACCAAACCAAACCAAACCAAAAAAGAAGCTATCCAGGGACCAGGAACCAAGCAGTAAGCACTGGCTGTGGAGGTGTGCAGAGGCAGGCCTGCAGCTCTATGTTCAGTTCTCCTGCCACTGAGGCCAGACTCTAGTTCTGGCCTCTGAGGTGGGGCTGTCTGTGCCAGGGACTATGAGATAAGATTCATCTCGTTTGTGAGATGTGAGACACTCAGTGATAAGATGTCCATTTATTTTTGAACTCTACATTAATGTTGAGGAAAAAAACAGTGAGTTTTGGCAGGAAATTATTCAGATTCATGGAAAAGCTACTGAGTGTCAAATAGCAGGAGAATGAACTCCAGCATCAAGGGCTTCACCTTAATCAACGATCTCTGAAGTACAGACCATGCATTTGCTCAGATGCTTCTTCCCACATTCCCACACAAACGCAGGGGCAGGCAGCATGGAGGCCTTGCTCCTACTTCTGCTCATTTTTGTCACAGAAGCCCTGCTGCACCCCAACACCTTCAGCCTCCTCTTCCCATTCCTCTGTCTCTTGGGTTTGGCATTCGTATCCTGTGGTGCTGTCCTCATCCTTGTCCTCCTCACCCAAAAGGAAACTTCTGGGGGAGGTGTCCCAGTCCCGGCGCGATGAGGACTTCTTTCTCCTCCTCAGCAGTGGAGTCAGCTCAGTCACCTGCTTCTGCTCTGATGGTAGCGCCAGGCTCATGCACGGGAGCCCTTTCTCCTTCCTGCACTTATACTCCATTATTTGCTTATTGAGTGCCTCATGATCAATCCCACACAGACTGAGGTGTGTGGTAGGTTCTGGGGTATCATGTGATGACAAGATACCATGTTTCCTGCAGGAAGAAGGGAAGTCTTCACACAGAGCCCAAGTCAACCTCCAAACCAGGGTGCTATCGCCCAAAACATCCACAAGTAGCACTTGTTCCATCTCCTCATACTTCCAAACTTGTCTGGGGTGACTGGGCAAGGACGTAGAAAGGTGATTCTGGTTTTGATTCTCCAGACTCAGGCACAGTGGCCAATATGGTCCTGTGAAGCGACTCAGCAGGCCACTGTGTGCATCCCCAGCTTTCTTTATTTGAGGATGGTGGTACACAGGCAACTACCCAGAACCATGCTGGGCCCAGGGGCAGGTACCAAGGGGGCAGTATGGGCTAGTGGGGACAGACTGAGAGGCTTCTGTAATCTAAGCATCCCAGGGAACAGGAACATGCTCACGTGCCTCACCTCAAAGCATCCTGTGCCAAGTCATCCCTTTCATCCGGAGGTCCAAAGTCAGCCCCCGCCAATAATTGATCTACCTGAAAAGAAAGCAAAGGGGAAGGTAGGCCACAGTGTTTGCTTTCTGCCTCTGAGGAGTGCCTGTCGGACAGTGTCATGGCCTTCCACGTGGCTCAGCACAGACCTCATGACTACTACATATGGCTTCCCAATCAGGGGACTTGCTTCATGACTGTACTTCACAACCTTGCTGTTCCTTTAATCTGTCACACTTTCCTTAGCAATGACAAAAGCTTTAAAAACTTGTAAATATTAGTCAAGTCTGTGAGGAAACCAGTTAAATGCTGAATGAATCAAGTACCTAGTATTTATTGGTTTCTAAAGTAGTTTTCAAAATGTTTCCATTTTGTCACAGAATGAGTGTCTGAGAAAGGGAAGCTTCAGCATAACAGAAAAGACAGGTGTGAGGAAGGTAACTGTCACGGCCACAGAAGCCAGAAGCCCACTCCAAGTGGTCAAGAGCCTGAAATGAAAGTAGCTGCAGCTCATAGGCAGGGCAGGTGGGCTGTGCCCAGGCCGCCACAACCCACAGAGCTCACTGGACTCTGTGTACCATCCACCCATGCACTGGCCATTCCGACTTACTCCCAGCATTCAGATATCCCTGGTAAACGGCCTGCTTCAAGACCAATGTGTGACCTCCCTCATCCAGGATTACTTCAAGAAGGGACCTGAAGAGCGAGTGGGACCCCCATCCCAAGAGACAGCAGGAGCTGGGGAAGGGAGCTCAACTGGGGACTGCTCAGCCAGAGTGTCCCTGTAAGCTGGGATGCAGTGTCCCAGCAGAAGTGCACTGTGCCCTGCAGGGGCCAGCACTCCCCTCTCTGCTGCTCCTGCTGCTGAGGATCCCTCATTTGGCAGGGTCACTACTCAAACTATCAGAGCTACCTGTGCAATGAGCAACAGAGAATCAAATTAAATTTGGTAATTTTCTCTCTGTGGAGCTCAATCACATCTGGTCTTCCAATGTATAATAAGTTACTCATCTTTACTACTGAAAATGTAATTTACTGATTTTTGGTAAGCTTTTTAAACGTATAATGTACTTGAGTAACTATCAGGTAAGGGGGCTGGAGCGATGGCTGAGTGGTTAAGAGCACTAGCTGCTCTTGCAGAGGACTCAGATTCAATTCTCAGCACCCACACAGTGGATAACAGTCCATAACTCCAGTTCCATATGATGCCCTCTTCTGGCCTCCACAGACATTGCATGACATGAGTGTACTTACACAGAGGCAAAACACTCATACACATAAAATAAATAAATAATTAAAATATTAAAATAACTACCAGGTAAACTATTGCCCACATAAAAATATGTACATGTGGGGCTGAAGAGATGGTTCAGTGGTTAAGAGCACTGGCTGTTCTTAGAGGACCCAGGTTCAATTCCCAGCACCCATATGGCAGCTAACAAGCATCCATAACTCTAGTTCCATGGGAATCCAACACTCTCTTCTGACCTCCGTGGGCACTGCATGACATGGGTGCACTTACACGTATGCAGGCAATACACTCATACACATAAAGTAAATTTTTTTTTTTTTTGGTCTTTTTGAGACAGGGTCTCCCTGTAGCCCCGGCTGTCCTGGAACTCACTATGTAGACCAGGCTGGCCTTGAACTCACAAGGATCCACCTGCCTCTGCCTCCCAAGTGCTGAGATTACAGGCATGTGCCACCACGCCTGGCCAGTAAATATTTTTTTAAAAATATGTATGTGTGTACAGGCTTCAATTAACTTCTCTCTAAAGTGAGGAAAAGAATGGTAAAAACACAGTCATAGGATACAATGTAAATCTGAGAGGTCTGCATTGTAAGGCCAGTGACAGCACAGAGAACACAGGGAGTAAGAGCCAGGGCAACCAGGAGGGCATCTCTGGCTACCCTGAGTTTATAACCAAGAAACAGCATTTCATTTACTGTTCAGAAATACAGTGATACACATAAACATTAAAACCAGAGGCGGGGAGGGCTGGAGAGATGGCTCAGTGGTTAAGAGCACTGGTTGCTCTTGCAGAGGACCAGGGTCAGTTCCCAGTACCCACATGGCAGCTAACAACCATCCATAACTCCAGTTCCAGGGGCATCCAATGCCCTCTTCTGACTGCCACAGGTACACTTACATACATGCAGGCAATACACTCATACACATAACATAAAAATAAAAATAATAAAAACAAGAGGCTGAGAACAGGGAACACGAGGGCCCTCCTATTCACCTGAACCTCTCAGTGATCTTTTAAAGCATATTCTATCTGTTGAGTTCTTAAAAATTAACTGAAATTCATCAGATATGGTGGCTCAAGCCTATAATCCCAGCATTTGGGAGGTAGAGGCAGGAAGATTAGAAATTCAAGGTCATCCTCAGTTATGTAGTGAGTTTAAGACCAGCCTGGGCTACATAAGGCCCTATCTCAAAAAAAGGGCTCAAGAGATGGCTCAGAAGATAAAAGCACTTACCACTCAAGCCCAGAACCTAACCCACAGAGGAGAAAACTGCCTCCTGAAAGTTGTCCTCTGACCTCCACATACATACCATGTGCCTAAACACATATGTAAACACACACAAATAGTAGTTAGAATAAAAATATTGCTGTTGTTTTCTGGGTTTTTATTTTTTGAGAGTCTCCCTGTAGCCGGTCAAGAACTCACTATGTAGACTAAGTTGGCCTCCATCTCTGAGATCTGCCTGCCTCTGCCTCCCAAGTGCTGAGATTAAAGACGTGCACCATCACACTTGGCTTAAAAAATTTTTGAAGCTAACTGAAACTTAAATTTTACTCATAAAAGTTTATAGTATAAAAAACTAATTATTTAAAAGCCTCACCTCAGCCAACACTGTGTCTTTTCTGTCTTGAACAAACACTATGGGTGGGACATTCCTCAGGGTCTGCTGAGTTATCAAAAGGTGCCTGAGGAGAGAGCATACAACATTTAGTGGAGAGGACTCAAACCCTATCTATCAAACTCACAAATTCACCAGTCTAGAGGGGAAGACTTGCTCATTATGGAGGAGGGAAGAAGGAAGAAAGGGATGGGGAAGGAAGCAGGGGAGGATGGGGAGGGAAGGCAGGGGAGGATGGGGAGGGAAGGCAGGGGAGGACGGGGAGGGAAGGCGGGAGAGGACAGGGAGGGAAAAGAGGAGAGGACAGGGAGAGAAGGCAGGGGAGGATGGGGAGGGAAGCAGGAGAAGACAGAGAGGGAAGGCAGGGGAGGATGGGGAGGGAAGGCAGGGGAGGATGAGGAGGGAGGGCAGGGGAGGACGGGGAGGGAAGGCAGGGGAAAGTAAGGTGGGCAGGAGAAATAAAAATGTTACCCAGAAGCTTTGGCAAAGCCTTTTTCAAACTCCACATCATAAATGGAGGCAGAATGCACTGTTACCACAACTGTTCTTCAGCTTTCAAAGCAACCGAGTCCTCGAGACAAGTTGTTTGAATGTGGGACACCACCCATGGCAGTGGACTTACGGCACTCGGTGGACATTCCCTGGTAAGACTCCAACCCTGACATTCCCACATACTAGGTCAAGGGATCTTGGTACAGCTCAGTCATATGACAGATCTGTCAAATGTCTAGACCCTGCACTTCCCCTGAAACTCTGACATTAACCCCTGAGTGATCATGAGTCCCAAGGAGCCTATGCAACTCAGCTGAATTTTTTATTGCCTCAAAACCAGAAACAAAACACATGTTGAAAATCTCTTGTGTTAAAACAGTAAAATATGAAATCGATTCTTCTTTGATATTCAAACACTCCTTGTATGTGCAGGATGGGCAAGAGCTCCAGGAAGGAGCTGGAGGCAGGAAGGAAGCATGGAGTCTCCCTAGGTCAGCTGGATTCCTGCACTTTTTTTTGAAACTGAAGAGTAAACTGAGGAAAGTCCTTATGACCAAGGTTTTTGGTCTCACGATTCTTTTACATTCTTACGAAGTTATTGAGAATGGCTGACAAATTTTGTTTATATGGTTACCTAAATATTTACTACACAGAACTTAAATTGGAGAAACTTAAAATGATGTATTTTAAAAAAAATTTTATTTATTTTATTTTACTTTATTTGTATTCATGTATTGCCTACATGTAGGTAAGTGCATCCATGTTGTGCAATGCCCATGGAAGTCAGAAGAGGCTGTCGGGTGCCCTGGGACTGGAGTTACAGACAGTTGTTAGCTGCCATGTCAGTGCTGGGAGTCGAACCCAGGTCTTTTGCAAGAACAACCATTGTTCTTAACTGCTGAGCCATCTCTCCAGCCCCAAAATGATGTATTTTTAAAGTCACTTAAAATAACACAACTATTAAATGCTGACATAGCATTTTAAATGAAAAATAACTATTTTTAAGAAAGTATTGAGAACAGTGGCCTTATTTGTGCTTCTGCACATTCTGTGGAGCCCAGCTTAGTGGAAGGCAGCAAGGGCTTCAGTGCTGCATCTGTACTCTGTTGCTATTTTTGTGATACACATGAAACTGTGACCTCACACAGATAAGAAATTGGGAAAAGGGGAATGTATTAAGAGTCCTTGGAAAAGTATGGATCTTTTTTGATCCTATGGAAAACATGATAAATTAAATGTCACATTAAAATGCACCAGTGTCTCTAGCAGGTTAATGGACATTTTCCCATGGGTGCCATGTGTGGATTTACAACCCTGTATGCTGGTCATATGGGTGACAGTGGGTCAAAACCCTGCACAGTACTATATGGCACTTACAAAGTTATGGATCCCCCAAGAATAGCCTTAAAGTTCTTGGAGGCTATCACACTCACAGAGGATGCCAATTGCTGAAATTTTGGAAGGTTACATTTTATTATTAGCAATGGGTATGACTAGGAAATGTCCTAGTGTTGTGAAACTAATTCTAGCCTCACAAAGCCCAGAAAGGATCTCTGGAGCTGTATAAAACTTTTGAGAAAAGCTGACTAGATTACATCTTATAGGAAAATGCAACATACACTCTGAAAATCAAGGAAATGCTTCCAAGACGTTCCTTAAAACAAAAATCCTTAATATAACATTTTAAAAGTCTACCTATCAGAGAAAGACCCGAGCAACTTACGGTTTGGGTAGAAAGCAGTACTTGTAAAAAGCAAACACCATCACCTCATGTAGGCGGCGCTCCTCTGCAGGACGGCCTGCGTGTGCTTGTTCTGGTCTGCAGAGAGACCTGTCTTCCAGTACACTCGGCAGGCTGAGAAGTCTGATGTCAGCGAAACCTGGGACCCATCGCCAACTGCAAGTCACTTTAAGTTCACATGGTTTTCACACAGAGAGCATGCTGGGGATGAGAACTACAGCTTCTTGTGCCTCTCTCACCCAGAGAACCATTCTGCTGATGCCAGCCACAGACCACAACATGCTGTGAAGAGCACTCATGGTAAGGAAGTAGGGTCACAGACACTCAAGTTCACCTTGACCCATGTACCCCACTCATTGCTTCACAGGTATCTAAATGCCCATTTGCCAGCTATTTTCTTTTTGGCTCAGGCCCCTGCAGGAGAAATGGAGAACCCCACTATCTTTTTTGAGACAGGTTTCCCTGTAGTCCCAGCTGGCCTGGCACTCACTATGTAGACTAGGCTGGCCTCAATCTCAGAGATTGGCCTGCCTCTGCCTCCTGAGTGCTGGGACTAAAGGCATGTACAACTCCTGGCTTAACCCCCATCTTTATGCCAAGATAAAGGCAGTGTGGATACCTCACCACATCCCTAGACTTACTCTAGTGCTTTATCTCATTACACTGGCTGGTGCTGTGTGATCACAGGTTCCCTACCCAAGTAGAGAAACCACTGCTTCTGTATCTTGTCCTAGGTCTTAAACGATCAGATTTGGCACCACTTCTGCAGCCTCAGGCATAAGGGGTTCAGGCAAAACCGTATGAGCCCATGTCCACCTGCCCCTAGTCCTGTTCTGTGCTCACCTTGGAGAGCTCCACATTCAGGTCATAGACCTCCTGGCTCACTTCAGGGGTGCACAGCAAATCCATCAGTGCTTTGTAAAGGAGGCCATTCAGGGCCCTCAGACGCACATGATCTTCCTTCCTAGTCTTCTTTGAGGTGTTCTTTGTGAGGAATTCGAACTTTGACTGCTTGTGATTCAAGTGAGACCCCAGGGAAGGACCTTCATACCAAAACTTCTTTCTATATCAAGAAAACAAAAATGAGATGGGCTAGTGATGACAAATTAGGAAGAGTTACGAAAGCTACCTCGAGAGGCTATGACACTACAACTGTAGGGTGTTTTGATTGGACACAGAGGCATGCTAATGGGACCCTAAGAACGAGTGAAGTTTAGTAGATGACAGCATGACTGTAGTGGTGGGACAAATGACAGTTTTAACAGCATTCTGTAATTTCGCCTTGTCTATCTACAGTGTAGAGGAAGGGCCTTAAGAGTGTATCTCCAAATTTTGAGAAAGCACTATGCTGACTACCCATGAAGATACAGGTTGATGGTTCTGACCCGCTGTGACTGAACAGTTAGGAAATTGAGGAATGCCTCACATCTCACTGTTGGAGAGGGAGAGTTCTAGGAGAGTAAGGTAAAAAGACAAATGATCCAGAAGATTACTACAAAATGCTTACAAGTGGAGGCTAGAGAGATGGTTTAGTGGTTAGGAGCACTAGCTGCTCTTGAAGAGGACCCAAATTTGGTACCCAGCACCCACATGCAGCTAACAACCATCTGTAACTCCAGTTCCAGGAGACCTAATGCCCTCTTCTGACCTCCATGAGCACTGCATGTACATGCTGCATGTGCTGGAGAGCTTTAGTTGTCAACTTGACACACCTGGGTAGAGGGAACCTCAACTGATGAACTACCTCCATTGGATTGGCCTGTGGCTATGACTGTGACACATTTTCTTGATTACTGAGTGCTGTGGGAGGGCCCAGCCCACTGTAGGTGGTACAACCCCTGGACAGGTGGTCTTTGTTGTATAAGAAACCAGGCTGAGCATGGGCCAGGGGAGCAAGCCAGTGTGCAGCATTCTTCCATGGTCTGTATGTTCCTGCGTTGAGCTCCTTGGCTTCCCTCCATGATGAATTGTAAGCTGAAGGTGAAATAAACCCTTTCCTCCCCAAGTTGGTTTTGGTCAGCATTTTTATCATAGCAATAGAAAGGAACTAGGACAGTACACTTACACACATGCAGGTAAAATACTCATACACATAAAAGTACATTAAGAAGTTTTTTTAATGCCTACAAGTTGATACTCAAAGGGTGTTGTTCACACTTTTTGTTTGAAACTGTTATCTAGGGTTTTACAGACCCTTAAACTACTGGTCATTGTCCCTGCTCTTGGTTACACACCAGAAATTGATACTAAGACACTTTTGCTGAAGACACTACATATATGAGCTATAGGACAAAAAAGGAAAAATCAAGCTGGTACTGACTTCAAAGTTTCATCTCCTCTGGCAAGCCTTTATAGTGCTGGGAGGTGCTATGCATGCTATCAGAAGGGAAAAATAATCATCAATCTTACCCAGCTGTGAATCCTTTGAGCTACAACCAGCCTGGCAAGATATGCCCACTGGTGCTATAGTGGCATGAATATAAGAGGAATAACTAACCACTTTCTAATAGGATTATAAGGTCTACTTCAGAAGACAGATCCCATACCTGACACTGATATAGGGCCTAGGAACTTGTGGCTAAACAGGTTACAGGTCAAAAGGAAGAGCCCAATATTATTATGCTAAACTGATATAGTATTAAATTGACTTCTAATGATGTATTGTTATACCCATTAATTAATGCATCTCTCAACTTTAACCAGAGAAGTTTCCTTATGCAGAAGATGATGATTAACAGACATACACAACTGGTCAATGTGCTTTTCCCTGAATAGGACACCTATATCAAACTTCTGTCTCCCAAGGTCCAGGGATCATTGCTGAAGAGGTGGTGGAAAGACTGTAAGAACCAGAGGTGATGGATGACCACAAGGGAACAAGAGTTTTCCAGACAGTTGTCAAGTTACTAATATGAACTCACAGCAATGGTGACAATATGCACAAGTACCATGTAACCTCAAGCCAGACAAAATAACAGCATGGAAGTGGTGAGTTGGATAACAGACCCCAAATCTACCTGAGGAACTCCTGGCCACCAATGGCTACCAGGAGAAAGAGAGTCAGTCATCAGTCTCATTTAAGGGTGAGACTTTTGGTAGGTTGACCAGGTTCCAGTGATGGACCCACACCAAAGGGCATTTGAGGACACAAGTTTGACTCTATAGGTCTTTATATATATATATATATATATATATATACATACATACATACACATATATGTAAAAGAGTACATGAAATTGGGCAGGAGGGTAGTAGGGGGTGTGCAAATAGGGGAGGGAATTTAAAAACAATCAAAACACATTGTATAAAATTCTCAAAAATTCAATTTAAAAAGGAAAGAAAAAAGAGTCTCTTACTCACTTCCATTGGAAATTTTTCCTTCTACAAGAATGCACATACCCACATGCATACATATCTGTATGTGCATAAACGACAACATGGAGGTGGGGAGATGAGCGACCTCAATCAAAGCTCTACTATGTCACCCCCTCCACGTCCAGCTTAACAAAAAGTGGCAGAGCAGCAGCAGAGCTGCCAGTATCACCACTGTACAGAGTTCAGGAAATGCCAGTCTACAACCATTTTAATTACAAAGAAAATAGAAAAAGTCAATCTAAAACATTCTTTCTGCACTATAGACCTGGAATGTTCCAGTGATGGACCCACACCAAAGGGCATTTGAGGACACAAGTTTGACTCTATAGGTCTTTATATATATATATATATATATATATACACACATACATACACATATATGTAAAAGAGTACATGAAATTGGGCAGGAGGGTAGTAGGGGGTGCTGATGGGGGAGGGGATCTAAATTCTATCAAAATAGATTGTATGAAATTCACAAAAATTAAAAAAAAAGTTGATGCTTACAAGTTGATACACAAAGGATATTGTCCACACATGCACTTTTGTTTGTCAGCTGATAGGGACCAAAAGTCTGACATGCCAATAGAGTGTGCACACCTGACTCCCATGTGCAGACCATGCTTTCCACTACAGCCTGATATCCAGGTCTCCTGTAAGAATGGTTGATTCTTAGTGCTGGAGCAAGCACATATAAGATGAACTTAAATCATTGTGTAGTGCCAGAAAGGTGCTAAACACACAAGGCAAACCCACATATGATGGGGTAGGGCTCAGAGGGCTGTTGATGGCCGAAGATGGGACTCTTTGAGCAAAATAAAACAATAGTTTCTAATCATGAGTTCGTGCTGATAAATGAATTAACAAACCATGAAGAAGCACATCTTTCACATAGAATTCCAAATAATTCGTGAGCATAATTCTCTATCCTTTAGGGTAAGAGTCCCCACACAGTGACTTCCTCCCAAAGATGACAGTGGGGACACCCGACACCCAGAACAGTCCAATCCCATTGGTTAGATATAACTGATACAATGGGATAAAATCGTGCTTTACCTCTGCTACTTCTCCCTATCCACAATCCACATAGAATCACAAAGAAAACATCAAACTCCAATGGTGGGCAATCAAGGGGCTGAAGAGATGGGTCAGCGGTTAAGAACACTAACTGTTCTTGCAGAAGACCCGGGTTGGAATCCCAGCACCCACATGGCAGCTAACAACTATCCATAACTCCAGTTCCAGGGGATCCGACAGCATCTTCTGTCCTCCGTGGTCATTGCACGACACAGGTGCACTTACCTACATGCACGCAATACACATAAAATAAAAATAATCATTTTTAAAAAATCATTTATCAAAACAAAACCAAAAAATATATACTGGCAACCACACTCCGTAGACTCTAAGATGCTGTGGAAATCAAAGTATCTTACCATATATTTATTACACACAAAAAAACTAAATATCAAGACACATTTTATATAATGTGAAGTTTTAGGAGACTTAAACTTATTTAAAAAGAACCGAAAGGAAGATTAGAGGAAAGGAGGCGACTGTTAGAGGGGAAGGGTCAAATTGCAAGCCATTGACACCGCTACCCCACCCACCGCCGGTCTGCCACAGTCCCCACCCAGCCTCTCGTGGGCACCTGTCCCCCGCGGAAACCCCTACAATCCAACCGTGCACTCCGGCCCCAGCGGACCCTGGCCCGTGCATACTTGGTTTTAGAGGCAAATTTCTTGAGCAAGTTCTTGCTGCCGCAGGAGGCGGCGGAGCTATGCAAGGCCCGCAGCGGGGAGCTAGAGCCCCGCAGCCACGCCGCCGTGGCCCACATCCCGCAAAGAAATGGCAGCACGCTTGACTGGGAAAGGACCGGAAAGTGGGCGGGGCGACGACAGAACGCACGAGAGGGCGTGCTAGAGGACGGGAGGGCGGGGCCACGGAGAGCAGCGAGTGGGAGGAGCTAATCCGGCCTGTGGTGGGGGCTACGGCCCAGAATTCTGACTGCTTCGTGGGCTGGATGCCAAAAGTCTAAAGGTGAGCAGTGTGCAGCTAGAGTCAGAGCCACCCAGCTTTTTTTTTTTTTTCTTAATTTCTAAAAAGTTATTCTTGAGCCGGGCGTGGTGGCGAACGCCTTTATTACCAGCACTCGGGAGGCAGACGGAGGCGGATCTCTGTGAGTTCAAGGCCAGCCTGGTCTACATCGTGAGTTCCAGGACAGCTGGGGCTGCAGGGAGACCCTGTCTCAAAAAGACCAAAAAAAAAAATTCTTATTATATATATATGTATAAGTCTTTTGTTTGCATATATATAAGTGCACCCATGTCATACAATGCCCATGGAGGTCAGAACAGGGCGTTGGATTCCCCCGGAACTGGAGTTAGGGAGAACTGTGAGCCTTCATTTGGGTGCTAACATCTGAACTGGGTCCTCTGCTGGAGCAGCCAGTTCTTTTAACTGCTAAGCCATCTCTCCAGCCCCCCAGCTTTTTTTTGTTTTATGGTCTTTTTGTTGTCGTTGTTGTTGTTGTTTTGAGACAGGGTCTCCCTGTAGCCCCAGCTGTCCTGGAAGTTACTACTTAGGTAAGGCTGGCTTCTCACTTATAGAGATCCACCTGCCTCTGCTTCCCAGGGGCTGAGATTAAAGGCATGCACCACCAAGCTCTGTACCAGCTTTTTAAAAAAGATTTATTTTATTACTTATTTATATGTATGTGTATGTGTCACTCTGTGTGTAGCTGCACTCAGAGCCCCTGGAGCTGGACTTACAGACAGTTGTGAGCACTTGATATGAGTGCTGGGAACCAAACTCCCTTCCTACCAAATTCCTTTCCTAGAAGAGCGACCACTCATAACCACTGAGCCATCTCTCCAGTCCCACTAAACTTATCTTAAAGCAAGAACATGATGACAAGTTAGAAGGGTTTGGGTTTTTTTTAAGTATTCACCATAAAGAAGGGACAAATGTTTGAGGTGACAGTTATGCTTAACCTGACTCAAACATACGCCACATCATGTATTGATATGTATATTTCTGATTTATCTATGTTTTAGGATATTTAAAAAGTGTTTTTTAGGTGAAAAAATAACATAGATGTTCAAAAAGAAAACATGAAGGCTCTATCCAGTGACTTTGAGCTGGGAGGTGGAAGTGAGGTGGGCCTGACCCTACTGCCTGTGGTCTCCAAGAATGTGGTCTTCTTTCCCCTTCTATTGGCAGTTTGCTGCTCCTGTCTTACTTTTTTCCTGTAATATTTCTTCACCAGTTTATCTGGACAAGAGGCTCAAAAGTATTCCAAAGAAGGTGTATTCATCGTGTAATTGTTATCATTCCCAGCAATTCCTGCAGGGAGACCTGTGCCAGCCACATCCAGACTTTGCTTTCCTCTCAGCCCTTGCCAATTGACTGAGGATGGTTTTACTGTCTACCTGCCTTTCTCACTAGAAAGTTTGTCTCCCAAGAGTAATATTTTCCCTTGTTTCTTGTAGTTTCTGGGCATTAAGAAAAAGTGTCACAATTTTTTAAGTACTTGTTTACTGGATGACTGAAAGAAATAAACAGTCATTTCATAATTGGGGAGAATAGTCCAAAAATCTCTCAGAATTGAACAAGATGAAAGATAACATGACCCACCAGGAAATTCGTAGATCTAGCACAGAGTTTTCATCAAACTTAAAATTAAAACCAAGCCTTGGGGCTGGAGAGATGGCTCAGCAGATAAGAACACTGACTGCTCTTACAGAAGACCCGGATTAGAATCCCAGCACCCACATGGCAGCTAACAACTATCCGTAACTCCAGTTCTACGGGATCTGACAGTCTCTTCTGTCCTCCACAGGCATTGCATGACACAGGTGCACTAACCTACATGCAGGCAATTACACGCATATACATAAAATAAAAATAATAAATAAAATATTTATTTTTAAAAATTATTTAGACAATTTTTTTCTCATTGATGATTTTGTTCCTAATCAGAAAGTGCGGCTCAGATGTAAGACTTCAAATCTTGGTCTGCAATTCTGTAGTGCCCAGCTACAGCTAAGGGAGGCAACCCACTATTCTAGCCTAAAAAATTAAATGATGGATAAAATTGTTTTCTCTCCCTATCTAGAAGCCTTTGAGAGGTAACTGACACTGATTATACTGATTCTAGCCACCCCAACAGCTATCCGAGTACCTGAAAACAAATCCTGAGTTTATCATTCTTGATTCCAGTCTTGGCAGCCCAAAGAAAAATGGAAAGGAACCCAATAGATGGATGCTTTTAGAAGCCCTCATCAAGAAGTGCCAATGGACTTTAATTTGGACATTTAAAATTTGCCCTGTTCAGACTTTTTCTGGTTCCCTGTCTAGAACTTGTAATGCTAACTATTCTTGCCTTGACTTCTTCATATCTCCCAGGAATTGGTCAAGTACTCACTTTTCTCCCTACAGATAAGACTTATGCAATTTTGGAGTCTTTTAGATAGACCCCCTGAAGGGGTACTCCAATTGCCTCACCCTGCATCCCTGTTCAGCATGGAAGAAGCCAGAGCGGTCTGTGTCCTGATTCCCTATCCACAAGTTGGGTAACCTCTTCAGGGGACGGTGTGATAAGAATAGGAGGTAGGAATTGGCTAGTTAGGAAAAAAAAGATCTGAAAGAAAAATATCCAGTTTCTTGGCTAAAATTCACAATGTCCTTGGGCCTCTTAGCAACCTACTCCGTTCCAAAGGCCAAAAATGTCAAAAGTATTTGGGAGCTTTTATCTAATCCTTAAAAGATTTTAGGGTTACCTCTTCAGAGGGGCGAATGTTAGAGTAGCCAAAAGCCCCATAAAAATTTAAATAAAAGAAGAAAGAGTACATGAAAAAGAAAGAAAGGAAAGAAAGAAAGAAAGAAAGAAAGAAAGAAAGAAAGAAAGAAAAAGAGGTGTGGAAGCTCACAGAAGGGTCTCTTGATCATTTTAATACAGTGGCTGAGTTAGTGATAGCATTGGTGATCCTCCACCACAGCTGCTGAGAGTTAAGGACACATTTATGGTAGTATCAGAAATGGTCAATCCTAGGGAAGTTCTCTGGGGTGCTTTTAATTTTCACGATGCACTCTGTCCTCACCCCTAGGCCTGACTGAAATAAAACGTCCTACAATGGCATCAGTGGGGTGTGACACCAGAGTAACACTGATGTCTTTCCTGTAGGAGAAGGAGGGCCTGCTGCATGGCAGCGCATTGAAAACCAGTCTCAGCACAAGCTTGTGAAAGAGACAGGTGACAAGCTTTGTCTTAACTCACTTGGAACACAGAAATAACCAAATAATGGCCAGATACAGGAACATCTGTCCATAATATAACACCTTGTAGATGGGTAAGGGGTAGTTATGTTGGGAAGGCATAGAACACACCTCCAGCCATTTGTGGTGGCTCACATATGTAACCCAACACTTGGGAGGTTAAGGTAAGAGGATTGTTTCAAGGTCAGCCTTGGCTACAAAGTGGGACCATCTAAAAAAAGAAAGGAAGAAAGGAAGGAAGGAAGAAAGAAAGAAAAGAAAAGAAAAAGAGAAAACAAGGGAAAGGAGGCGGGTATGGTGGGACACACCTTTAATCTCAGTATTTGGGAGGCAGAGGCGGGTAAATCTCTGTGAGTTCAAGGCCAGCCTATTCTACAGAAGGAGTTCCAGGCCAACTGGTGCTACAGAGAGACCCTATCTCAAAGAGATCAAAGAGAGAGAGGGGGGAGGGAGGGAGGGAGGGAGGGAGGGAGGAAGGAAGGAAGGAAGGAAGGGAAAAAGGGCAAGAAGGAAGGAAAGGAGAGAAAAGAGAAAAATACTTTGTAATTCTCAGTAACTTATTCTGTAATGAAGCTGAATTGTACTGTGAGCATACTGAGATATGGTATAATTCTGTAATTCTGGCATTGTTGGTAATTCTGTTCCATACAAATAAGTCACATATCTATATGGATATTAGTGATCAACTATATTAGAAGGCTGAGATAGAACCTCAATCTCAGAATTTTTTTTTCACATTTCTGAGAAAATCTTATTGGCCTTTTGGATAGAAATTGTTTGCCAGGAAGGATGAGCCCATCATACTTCTGCTGGAATCAGCACCTGGCCTCCTCTTTGCTGATTCTGTGTTTGGCCCCAGTGCAGCCAAAAGGGAAGCTAATCAAATTTGCTCAAAAAATAAAAAAAATGGGGCTGGAGAGATGGCTCAGTGGTTAAGAACACTGGTTGTTTTTGCAGAAGACCTGGGTTCGAATCCCAGCACCCACATGGCAGCTAACAGCTGTCCGTAACTCCAGTCCCAGGAGATCCGACAGCCTCTTCTGACCTCCGTGGGCATTGCACAACACAGGTGCACTTACTTACATGCAGGAAATACACGAATACACATAAAATAAAAATGATAAAAATAAAATAAAAAAAACATTAAAAAAGTGATGGGGAGATTTGGGAGGAGTTGGAGGGGAGGGAGTGGGCATGGATTTGATCAAAACACCTTATTAAAAAATAAATAAAATAAAAAATGAACACTGGGTGTGGTGACACACACCCGCAGCCCACTTGAGAAAGTAGGACTGAAGAATTGCTTTATAACAGGTCCTTAAAACTGCTTTTTGCTAAAAAGTGTGTGTACTAGTCTTTTTAATTGTTTTTTGTTTGTTTTTTTGTTTATTTTTGATCAACTTGACACAAACTAGAGTCACCTGGGAAGAGGAAACCCCAATTGAGGAATTCCCTCCATTGGATTGGCCTGTGGCCATGTCTGTGAGACATTTTCTTAACTGTTGATTAATGTAGAAGGGACCAGTCCACTGTGGGTGGTGCCATCCCTGGACTGGTGGACCTAGGGATAGAGTTTAGACAGATGTGGTGGTACGCACCTTTAATCCCAGCACTCGGGAGGCAGAGACAGGCAGATCTCTGGGAGTTCCAGGCCAGCTGGGGCTACAGGGAGACCCTGTCTCAAAAAGACCGAGAGAGAGAAGGAGAGACAGAGAGAAAAGCTAATGTTTGTACAATGAGAGAGAGGGGAGGGGAGGGGAGGGGAGGGGAGAGGAAAGGAGAGGGAAGTATGGGGCAAAAAAGTTTAAAGTTTATGTCAATACTGTGGAATAAACTGAAATGCTTAATTTGCATCTTCCCAGCATAGCTGTGTTGATTAAAATCCTTCCCTGCCTTTTTTCTCATTATTTCTGTTTGCTTTCTTTAGGGCAAGTGATTACAACTGATATGTTGGGGCTCTTAGATTCAGACCTCTAGTTTAAGACTCTGGTAACACTCTGAACCTAGGAATTCATGGCCAGCCCAAGCAACATAGTGAGACTGTCTTGAAAGTAAACAGATGCATGCAGTGGCTTTATAGGATGAGTTAGTTGTGGATCCTCTTTCACTGTGTCTCTGTCTCTGTCTCTGTCTCTGTGGTAAGCTTTCCAGAAGTGTCCCTGTGCAGAAGTCCATCTGGTAAGCTGGAAGCAGTACCCAGAGACCTGAAGCAGCCACATGGGAATGGAGACAGAGGAAGCCCTGGCCTATACCTGGACTTCAGCCTCATAAGAACCTCTGTTGGATTTCTGGCACAAATAAACTGTGATATGACAAAATTTATTTTCAGGATAATTAATGCATGCAACTGTAGGAGGCACAAACGTCTACATCGTCCATCTGGGCCAGAGAATTAAATTGACATAGGCCATGCAATTGGGAAAAAAGTGTGCAAAGCTTTCAAATCTAGGTTTCATGTCGCATGAAGCTGCATGAGGTATTGGAGCCCTACACTCACACACTACATTAGACAAAACAGTAAGTCCTAAAGGCAAGGCCCAGGGACTTGGGTCAGGGCAGTTATCTAGTAGAGATGTGTCTGAAGAGAAGGGTCCTTTAGCAAGGTTTGAGCACCATTCTCTCCTTAGTGGCAGTGAGAGTATAAGAATGTTACTCCAGGGGAGGGCTCTATAGCCCAGACTGGCCTAGAACCCTAACTCTCAAGGGCTGGTGTTACAGGTGTGCACCTTCATGCCAAGGTGAGGAAAACAATTTTACAGAGGCATTTCATCTTCTTTTAAGAAACAATACAGGCACTTCATTCTACGTGAGAATGGGCACTGTTGGTCAGTGTTCAGAATTAGTCGATGTGGCTAAATTGAAACAGGTCATGTTTCCATCACAGTAAGTATATTGCAGTGGTGACAATGAGACCTTAACATTTTGAAATCAAAAGAAACAATAAAGGTCATGATTTTTTTTGTACCTGCTAATTTAAAAAATATATTTTATTATTTTTATATTATGTGTATGAGTGTATTGCCTACATGTAAGGGGTGCAAATGTCCTCCAAGTCAGAAGAAGGCACTGACTTTCCCCCTGGAACTGGAGTTATGGACAGTTGTTAGCTGCCATTTGGGTGCTGGGCATCAAACATGGGTCTTCTGCAAGAGTAGCAAGTATTAATTGCTGTGCCATCTCTCCAGCCCTGTACCTGCTTATTTTTGAGGACTTTAATTCGATATAGTCCACCAGTCCACCAGCCAGAGTAGCATGTTTTGGGGTGGCATTGGCATTTGAACTTCTATTTAGCAATAAGTATTTAAACTGGTCATATTTGTTACTATGAAGTTCCTCAAGGCTAGTCTCAGTACATAGCAGGCCCCCTGTTACAGCAGGACACACAGGACTGGAAGGCAGTGATTCCAGAGGATGTGTTGGATGGTGATGATGAAAATGATGCAGGTGAAAATAATATTGTTGAGCCAGGTGTGGTTGTGCACTCCTTTAATCCCAGCACTTGGGAGGCAGAGGCAGGTGGAGCTCTGTGAGTTCAAGGACCGCCTGGTCTATACATTGAGTTCCAGGCCAGCTGGGGCTACAAGGAAGCCCTGTCTCAAAAAGACAAAAAAGAAAAATAAAATAGCATTGTTAACAGAACTCAGACAGACATCTGCCAAGCAGCTGTTGTGAGCATGCTATGCTAGACACAAAGATGGAGAAGTCTCTGTCTTTTTCCACAATGTCAGAATTTATTGACTAACAATAGATCCACAAGCTATATTGGCTTTGTTGGCTGTTGGCTGTTTTTTACCATGTAGTTCTGATTGGCTACTGACAAACACAGGTTCTTTTAGTCCAATCTTAATTACTAACATTAACTCTCAGCTCACATATTACACTTTACACAGTAATCACCCACATACAGTGTGTGGGCGAGAGAGAGCTTGGGGAGTTACAGAAGGCAAACAAAAATGTTAAAGAGGACACAGAGTTCAAAGAGACCTTCCTGGAGACAGAGGAAGAGCACTGATATGGATGTAAAGAGAGTTAATGCAGGTGATTAGACAATATATTAACAAAGCCCGTTGGAGAGCTTCTAGATGAGGAGCCCGAGCTGCAGGGTCTCAGATTTGAAAGTCTGAGCTGAGTAGAGGGTTGGAGTTGAGCTACAGTGGCTCTGGGCTGTGGAAGGTAAGGCATGGGACCATAGAAGCAAGACAGAACTGGTGTCAAGACAGATGAGTCAATGGACAGAAGACCACAACCCTCATACACATTTAAAAATTTTTTTATCTATATGTGTGATATGCCTGCATGTATGTGTATTCACCCTGTGTGAAGTCGACATTATTTAGTTTCTATTTAGTGGGGGGGGGTGGCCCCAGAGCTTGACTACTCCCCTGACCCCTGCCAGCCACCGTAGCTCCGCCACAGCTCCCGAGGGGCTACAGCAAGGCCCAGAGGGCTTGGCCGCTTCCTCACCGCGCGTGCGCGAGCAGCAGCGTGCGCGTGCGCAGTGACGCTGGCAGCGTCAGCGCTGCTGATCCGAGATTCCGCAGCGCGGGAGGCGCTGAGGCTGCCGGGAAGAGCAGGCGATCCGGGAGCGTGGACGCACACGAGGTTAGGCCCTGCGGTGAGTCAGTGGGTTGCTGCCCATGTGGGGTTGGAGGCCGCGGGGTGCCTCCCCGTGGAGTTAGAGGTTGTAGAGTATGGGGTGCGACACTGTGGGGTTGGAGACGCCGGAGTGCGTACACGGGTGCGGCCCCGTGTACTTAGAGGCCGCCGAGTATGGTGTGTTGCGGGTTGGGGCGGAGGCGCGGGTGTGGGCTTCAGGCCCTTTGCGGGAAGTGGAGGCCTAAGGGGGTTGGGGGTGGGGTGGCTTTCGTGGCGCACATTGGGGCCCTGGGCGGTGTTCTTAGGGTGCAGGTAGGGTCTCGACCTCACAGTTTTCTGCTCATACAGGCAGCTCGCGGCGCCTGGCCGCACAGGCCCGCTGAAGATGTCGTACATGCTCCCGCATCTGCACAATGGCTGGCAGGTAGACCAGGCCATTCTCTCGGAGGAGGACCGCGTGGTCGTCATTCGTTTCGGGCATGACTGGGACCCCACCTGCATGAAGATGGACGAGGTTCTGTACAGCATCGCCGAAAAGAAATGGAAGCAAGTCCAGGCAGGGGGGGTTTGGATTGAGATTCTAGCCTGTCTTTCTTCCTCATGACCTCATTATTAAGCAGTCCTATTGACTCAAACAGGGTTCATGTTCATGTACAGGTACGGGACAGGTGCCAGAAGTGGCCAGAGTTTTTTAAATTTTGAAGAAATGCATGATCCTTAAATAAATGCCTCATAGTGATTGTGAGTTTTTGTTGCGATGATTGGGGGCCGGGAGTTGTGTGTAGCACAGACCGGCCTTGGCCCGCTAGAATGCTAGCATTACCGTGGTGGGCCTTGATAGTATATTTTTAGGAGTTTACTTTGTATTCCTGATAGGTTATCCAATCCCAAGTGGTCAGCCCTAGACACCTATGGTACCAGCAACATTAAGAAGAATCTGCTGTGTAGTGAACAAACTGAATTTACAAGCTATGTAGGGAGTGTTGGAACTTATTTTAAATAGCCTAGTTTAAAAGGATTGTCTTTTTCTTGGTACCTTATTTATTTATCATACTTATGAAGCAAAACTTCTAGGCTAATACCTTGGTAAACCTTTTTTGCTTTTGCTTTTTTTCCTTTTGGAGAGAGACTGCATTGTGTAGCCCAAGCTGACCTTGACCTTTCAATCTTCTTGCCTCAACTTCACAAGTGCTGAGATGATAGGCATGAACCCCATGCACTTTGTGAGTTATTTGATTTGTTGCTTGCAGTTATTCAGATGCAGGAAGCATTAGGGGAAAGTAGCATTGTGTTTTGTTAGAACTAGCTTTCTTAATTTCCTGTGTTTATAAAATGAGTGGTACTTATTTGCTGACAGTAGAAGGGCAATTGTAGGCACTGTCCATGACCAGTTTTAGTCTTTTTCTGTAAATTCCTTTTGATACATTTAGGATAACTTATTTGGGCTTTTGTAATTGTAGCAATGGGGCAAATGGTAAAGATAATGAAGAGTTAAAGATTTAACATTGCTAGTCCATGAATAATTTGAGTTTATTTATTACTTTGTGTATATGGTGTATTGCCTGCATGTATGTAAGTGTACCTGTCTTGTGCAATGCCTGCAGAGGTCTGAAGAGAGCATTGTATTCGCCTGGAAGTGGAGTTACAGACTGTTGTTAGCCACCATGTGAATGTGGGTGCTGGGAATTGAACTCAGGTCTTCTGTGAGAGTAGCCAATGCTCTTAACTACCCAGCCATCACTCCAGCCCCCTGAGAGTTTAAAGGAGAGTGAAAACTAATAGAAACACTGAAGCTGTTTTTCCTTCACAGATGCTAATGTAAACTGGAATAAAGTAATCCTTTTTATTTCAAATGGCTCTCCAACAGGTTTATTGCTCATGTATTTATTCCCTTATGCTGCAAGTGAAGCTAAGGCCTTGAGCATGCTAGGCAAGTGCTCTACCACTGAATCACAATTCAATACCAAAGAAATTATTTTGAGTAAGACAGGAACATGTCTTAAATGTAGGAAAGGAAACACTGTTTAACCCGCCATTGATTAATGGATTAATTTTTGCTGTCCTCTTTAGGAAGGAGCAGTGGTGGGCAGTTGAAACATTCCAGCAGTCACAGGTGTCCTTTGAAGTGCTTTTGAAATGATGTCTCAGGGACACTGACGCTATTCTGTTGGTCTGGGCTGAGGCCCCCAAAAGCTTTTTAAAGATGCTCCTGTTGAATTCAGGAACCCCTTGGTGGAGATCGGGGTCAAGGCAGCAGTGCTTTATCATCCACCCCTCTTGGACTCCAGAACAGTGAAGACCTGAGTGATCTGGAGGGGATAGGGGTTGAGTCTGATTTCATTTGGGACATCCTGCAACGCTATTCTGTTGGTCTGGGCTGAGGCCCCCAAAAGCTTTTTAAAGATGCTCCTGTTGAATTCAGGAACCCCTTGGTGGAGATCGGGGTCAAGGCAGCAGTGCTTTATCATCCACCCCTCTTGGACTCCAGAACAGTGAAGACCTGAGTGATCTGGAGGGGATAGGGGTTGAGTCTGATTTCATTTGGGACATCCTGCAAGTGGTGGCATAAGCATCAGATGGTGGTTAGGGTCTCTGTTGTCCTCTGTCAGGATGGCTAGATGTAAGGCCTTTAGCTTTTCCTAGCTAAACAGCTCACAGATTTCACCAGACTTGTTCTTTTTCCTCATTCTGTCCTGTCAGGTGCAGATGGGATCTCTGATAGTTCTGGTGGACTCACTGTTTTTAGTGTTGGGCCCATTAAGTAGGCTCACTTTTAAATATTTTCTTTAGTTGTAATTTTTTTTATTTTGTCAAAAACTTTGGCTTACACACCGCCCCCCTTTGTTTTTTTTTTGTTTTTTTTTTTTTTTGAGACAGGGTCTCCCTGTATCCCCAGTTGGCTTGGAACTCATTATGTAGACCAGGCTGGCCTTGAATATGCAAAGCTCCTGCCTCTGCCTCCCAAGTGCTGGGATTAAAGGTGTGTGCCACCATGCCTAGCCTATAGTCTCCTTTTTTTTAAAAGGTTTGTTTACTTTATGTATATGAATATTTTGTCTACATGCATGTACGTGTACCATATGTGTGTAGTACCTGTGAAGACCAGAAGAGGGCATTGAATTCCCCTAGAACTGGGGTTATAGGCAGTTCTGAGTCACCATGTGGGTGCATGTGTATGAGTGCTTTGCATGTATGTAAAGAAGTACACCCATGTTGTGCAGTGCCCACAGCAACTACAAGGAGGCATTGGATTCTCTGGAACTGGAGTTAAGGGCAGCTGTTAGCTGCTATCTGGGTGCTGTGAACCAAACCCGGATCTTCTAGAAGAGAATCCAATGCTCTTAGCCACTGAGCCATCTCTCCAGTCCCCATGGATTATATTCTTAGTAAACTGAAAAGAAAAAAATTTATATGTGTTAATAGCATGTTAGGCAAATGCCCTGAGCTATATCCCCAACCCCCTTTAAGAAAACTTTTCTCTTTCCACTTTTTTTTCATATATGTGTGTGTGTGTGTGTGTATGTGCACGCATTTTGCATATATATGGATGCGTGTGTGTGTGTGTACATGAGTGCCTGTATAGGTGGAGGCCCAAGGTTATCTGGAATCATCCTCAGTCTCTCTTCTGCCTTATTCATTGAGGCAAGGTCTTTCAGTAAAACTCAGAGCTTGCCAATATGGGTAGTCTTGCTAACTAGCTTGCTCTGGGGCTGCCCTGTCTCTGCCTTCTGAGGCTAGAATTAACAGATGGGTTGCCATGCCTGCTTGGCATTTATGTGGGTTTCTGGAGATCTGAACATGGGTCCTCTTGCTTATGTTGCAGGCACTTTGACTACTGAGCCATCTCCCCAGCCCCCTAATAAACTTTTAAAACTATGCTTTAGTATAATTATTAAAAATGTAGATTTAAAGTATGTTAAAATGTTAATATCTTATTTTCTTAGTATAATGGAAAAATACGAATTCATAATCCTAGAAGCTCTTTTTGGGGAAAGTTCAACAGGAGTTTTTGAAATTTAAGATGTTAGTATAAAGAACAGTGTAACTATTTAAAAATCTCCCTCTGCAGAAATGGAAGCTAGTGGGAGATCTTCCTCATCTTTTATGAGCCCTGTTTGGATATATCCCAGCTGTTTTAAAGTGAGTAAAAGTTCCATGTGTTCAGGCTGGACTTGAGTGTCCTATTCCTTCTAGAATGTGTGTTATGTCAGCCAACATGCTCCTCTTGCAGTGTCCACCCCTACCTCATTCTAGACTAGTTTTGAGTTGAATACTTGAGGAAGAAAGGTAGTTAAAAACAGATAAACTTAAAAATCCAGTGCTTACTAAGTAAATTGTTGCATCTGATATTGTGAAATTGTGGCGAGAATATTTCATGTACCTTTGATTTCTTTTCCCATGGGTAATTTGTCAAAAAAATATTATTTGTCTAAATCAGAAGTGCTTTATTGCACTATTCCCTTAATGCTGTGACAAGTAAAAATAATGAGGCACTTTATTTTTGTGTATTTTTTAAAGCCCAAACATAAAACATTTAAAATATCTTCAGGGATAATATTGACACATGATACATTCTTAAATCATATTTATGTCTGGGCATGGTGGTACATGCCTTTAATCCCAGCAGATCCCTTGAGTTCAAGGCCAGCTTGGTCTGCATAGTGAGTTCCTGGCCAGCTGGGGGCTACAGGGAGACCCTGTCTCAAAAAGACCAAGAAAAAAAAAATCATATTTATTGTGGCTGTCAAGATGGCTCAGCAGGGAGAGGAGCTTGCCACACAAGCCTGATTACCTAGGTTTGATTCTGAGAACCTACATAAGCGTGGAAAGAGAAAAACAACTCTCACGAGCTTGTCCTCAGACCTCCACATGGTTACTATGATAATGTGGACCCACATTGTGCATACATATACACACAAAAATAAAAATTTAAAAATCATATGTAAGGCAAATATGTTGATGAAACTTTCAAAGAATAATATTAGGAAGCTTTTTTTTTTTTTTTTGGTTTTTTTGGGGCAGGGAGAGAAAAACAACTCTCACGAGCTTGTCCTCAGACCTCCACATGGTTACTATGATAATGTGGACCCACATTGTGCATACATATACACACAAAAATAAAAATTTAAAAATCATATGTAAGGCAAATATGTTGATGAAACTTTCAAAGAATAATATTAGGAAGCTTTTTT